AATAAGACCGATGGACTGGCCAGTCAGTTAAAGTTGTTTCTGTCCATGTATGACATCATGAAGGGTGGTCAACACAGATCTCACTTCGGTGATGGCTGATAAGATCGTGTCTCCTCAGAATGCTTTCCTTGTCTTTCCTTGTCTTCACCTCTCTCTCTCCGTTACACAGCACTCTACCCTAGCTCACAAGCTCGCAGTGGTTCGTCTTGCCAAACTGGCAAACCTGACAAGGGGATCAGCCATCACGCGAAAGAAAGGACGGACACCAGACGACTCTGTCTGTGTCCTCGCACCGATCAATCAGCGCAGATACGTTTCCGATCAATCAGTGCAGATACGTTACACGACTCAACGACGACGCTGCTCGGTCGCCGGGCGAAACTTCCTGCTGCGGACTTGACAGTCCTCCGCAGTCCGCCTCATATATATATACACATAGGTGGCACGTACGTACGTATGGACACAGAGCACGCAATCGCATACACTCACAAACACACCGCCGGCCGTTCTGTGTCCCCTCCCTTCTCCCCCGCTCTCGATACGCTTCGCCCAGACATACGTACGTGCGAGAAAAGCCACACCGCAGCAACACACACAGGGAGGAAGGAAGGGACGCAGGCATACGGGGATATGGGGAGACAGAACGAGTGAGTGGGACACATCCTCTTTTACTAAACCACCACACGCACGCACACACATCCCTCAGTCATCCTGCATGCATTGTGTGTCGATAGACAGCACCCTTTGGGCGTGCGTGGAGGGAGGCGCAAAAAGCGGTCAAAACTGATCCCCAACCACCACACAACACACAATAAAGCGGAAAAACAGACATCACAACCGCAGCATCCACCGGACGACTCGGCAACCACGTAGCACCACACGACACGTACAGGCACATCCACAAAAAGCCGCACACACAAACGCGATGCATGCAGACACGCACACATGTGCGCTCTGTCATCATGCAATTTATGCAGGTTGTCGGTAAAACACTGTACACTGGTGCGTATGTATGTATGTATGCATGTGGGGATCGATTGAAAAAGGCGGCATGCCACCAATCCCACATACACGCATGACCCCCTCGGCGCACTCACCCTATCCGACACCACAAACGCACAGACAGACGGATATGCATGACCAGGCAGACGCCATGAAGCTGATTGAAGACAACACACGGATGCGGTCTCGACTCCAGGCTGTTGTGCCGTCTCCTCTCACCTTATGCGCTAGCAGTGAGTGCGTTGGCCGTCTTCTGAGCTAGATACTCCTGAAAGCACTTGTAGTACTTCTCGCGGCCGAGCTGCTTGCTCGACAATTTGCGCAGCTTGTTGGCCAGCTGCACGATGTAGCCGGTCGCTTGTCCCACGGCTTGCGCCTGGAGACGGAACTTCACGCCCTCGGCAGCAGCGTTGAATGCCTGGTCTGCGTAGTCGTCAATGCTGTCATCGGTAAAGTCGCTGATGCGCTCTGCCGCCTCTTCGGCAGCTCCCTCACCGAGAGCCCCGAAGTCCACTTCCTTGTCGAGGCTCTTCTTCAGGTTGTCATCGAAGACTTGGCGAAGCTTCTGTCGCAGGTCGTCCCTCATATCTTCCGTCAGATCTTCTGTACTCTGCGCCGCTTCGTTGAAGAAGTCCTTCAAGATGATGTGCCACTCCTCTCGGGACTCGTCAAAAGCATTCTTGACCGCACGAGCCATGCCTGCACGCATTAAAGAGGTCGTAAAGCAACAGAGCAACAGAGGGGCCAATTGACTAGTCTGCGCGTGTTGGCATTCTCACCTTTGCCAACAAGCTCGAGGATCTCCTTGATCTTGTCTCCCAGGCCCAGCCCTTTCCCGACCCATGCTGCTGCCTTCAGCATCCAGGGCATTCTGCCCTCCAACTGGGTCAAGATGGCATCCAGATGCACCATCTGACCCACCTGACCCACCAGCTTCTCCATCATCACATCCATCCGCTCCATGACTGCCTCCATGCTCGCCTCTGCTATGGCCTGACCAACTGCCGCGAACATCATTTCCCACGGAAGGACAGCAAGAGTAATCTTGAGGATCAGCTTGCCGACGCCTTTGACAATAGCCCAGTCGACGTCCTTCTTGCACACGCCCTCAGTGCTCCAGCTGTCCAGTTTGGTGACGCCTCGATGTCCCAGCACCTTCCTGGACTCGATCATCATCTCCTGGCTCTTGCTGAGCAGGACAGCATCCCAGGAGGCAACGACGGCCGACAGAGTGGCACCGACGAACAGCCCGCCACCGACGCAGGCAACAGGAATGCAGCATGTGAAGGCGCCAACCACCACAATCCACAGCTCGATGGTGCGGCAACGCGCCAGATGATAGATGTGCTGAAGCTGTGCATCACCCAGCTGAGACAAGTGCTGAGACAGCACAACAGCAGCAGCCGGGTTACGCGAGGTTGGTAGAGCGCCGCTGCGTGTCGGTGGCATGGTGCGGATGGTGGGGAGGGCGCCTTCCTCAGGGACCATGGTGGTGGCGAGGTTGAAGTGGAGGTCCTCAAGTGCCATAATTGCGCCAGATCTATCGAGGGAAGGCTGAGTGAAGGGGAGGAGGGGAAAGGGAGCGGGATGTCAGGAGGCCGCGTCAGGAGATCGTGTCCTCTTGGATCGTGTGCGGAGGGATCCCAAGGCAGCAGCGCGGAACAGGCGCAGCGCGAAAAGACCCGCGATGACTTTGCCGCAAACGCAGACCCCGGCACTACAAAGCCTGCAGCCTCGAGGGCGAGCTCGCAGATGCCAACCTCCCCCCCGTGAAGATTGACCCCTCTTCGACAGCGCATCGGGAGCATTCGGGGGCAGATCTACGAGTCGCACACTTTCTGTTTCTGTTGATGCTCGTTTATTGAGTGGGTGGTGAGCTGGTGAGAAAGATCTGCGGGTGGAGATCCATCCATCCATCCAATCCATCATCTCATGAGTGGATCTGCAAGTCCTCCGACATTCAAGCCCTCCCCAGGCATGACGCTGCTGCTCTCGGGCAGCGCCGGGATTCTTGGCTGGCTGCCAGTTCACCCCTTCGATGGTGCGGTGCACACACACTCCGAGAATGTTATTCTCTCTCTCTGTGTGTGAATGGTTTGTTGTGTTGATTGATTCAGTGTTGAAGATTCGGATGCAGCTCAACGCTGAGGGCGGCGGGACGAAGCTCTACAAGGTACTCGTGCAGAGACCGACAGACAGACAGACAGACAGAATCGCTGTGCGTGTCAGCTCGGTGGTCAGTCAGCGCAGCACGGTCCTCTCCTCCGCCGCCATGCTCGGTTGCATGTATGTTTCTGTGCAGAACAGTGTGGATGCGGTGGCCAAGATATTTAAGACGGAGGGCCTTTGGGGACTGTACAGGTGAACGAATCACACGTGAACCACGCCGACGACACAATGCTGCTGTCTGGACGATTGCTCTTGTCTGTCTGTCTGTGTGTCAGCGGTTTGAGTGCGGGCATCACGCGGCAGGCAACTTACACCACACTGAGAGGCGGACTCTATCAAATGTACGTGGGCCACAAAGACAGACAGACGCACAGGCTCACACAGGAAGTGCCGCTCACCGTGTCTTGTCAGCCTGAGGGACCGCTACACGGTGCCGGGTGCCAACCCGACAGTGGCCGTCAAGCTCGGCTGCGGCCTCACATCGGGCGCCATTGCGTCTGTCGTCTGCTGTCCTGTGGAGGTATCGTTGGTGCGGATGCAGGCAGACGGCCGGTTGCCGGTGGCCGAGCGGCGGGGCTACACTAACGTCTTCAACGCCTTGTACAGGATAGCCAAAGAGGAGGGCATTCTAACGTGCTGGAGGGGGTCCACACCGACTGTCGCACGGGCAATGGTCGTCAACATGGTGCAGTTCGGCAGCTATGACCAGGCTAAGGAGGTCCTCATGGCCATGACGCCACTCAAGGGGGTCAGTAAATCGGTCAAGCTTGAAGGCTTCTGTGTGCATTAAAGAACCTCTCTCTCTCTCTCTCTCTCTCTCCTCTCTCTGTGTTTGTGTATGTCTGTGTGTCAGGTTGGTCTCCATTTCTCGGCCTCTCTGATCAGCGGCTTCACCTATTCCGCGGCGTCGCTGCCCTTCGACATCGCCAAGACCAGGATGCAGAACCAGAAGACCCCGGCGGGCGAGATACCTCAGTACAGAAACATCTTCCAGGTGCCGGCTCGAACATCAGTCAAGCTCACACCAGACGCATGCACCAGAGCATCTCATGTGTCTGTCTGCGTGTGCTATGTTGGTTGGTCCCTCCCAGACGATGTGGCGCATCGGCTCGTTGGAGGGCCCTCTGTCCCTGTGGAAGGGCTTCTGGCCGTACTTCGGCCGTGGTGGGGGCCACTCGATCTTCATGTTTCTGTGGCTGGAGCAGCTCAAACTACTCGCACACAGAGCTGGTACGTACGCACTTTGACTGACGCGACGAAGTACACACCGGTGTACTACTCAATCAAAGCAAAGCCCACTGGTGTGCCCTGTGTGTGTGTGTGGCTCGGTAGGCTATGCATGACTGTTTGGTCCATGTGTGCGCGGACAAGTGCGCACCGGGTGGTGTGTGTATTTTTGAGTGCCTTTTTGTTGAGGGTGCCGCACAGAGACAGACAGACAGACATGCGTTCATGACCGATGCATGATTATGAGTGCTCGTAGGTAGGCAGGTCGGTAGGTACATACCAGCCATCATTGTCTTTATTTTTCGCCAGCAAGCTAGTGTGTAGACACTCGTCAAGGGCGGGAGGGCGGACACCGTGTGAGCTGCCAAAGCTGAGGATCGTAGAGAGGTTTGGACTTTTGCGTGTCTGTCTGTCTGTCTGTCTGTCTGGGTGTCTTGTCGAAGGGAACATACCTAGAATTCGAGTGCACTTCGCTCGGTCGCATGGGTCCACTCAATCTCTTGGATGTGGATGCAATCATCGAAGCCATGAAGGGCATCCGACCAAGCCCACTACACGCACCGTCCATGGAGTCTCTAGTCGACAAGCAAATCGAACAACCCGACAGACAGACATGGACCTCAGAAGGCCCTGCCGTCCCCACCCTCCCACCCTCCTTCTAGCACTAGTAGGTCCGTCCGTCTGTCAGTCAGTGTCTGGTGAAGAAGGCCGTGATGGGCTGGACGCCTTGGGGCAGCCCCTCCTTGGCCGCCTGTCTGTCGGCCTTGGCCTTCTTGTTGCCTCCCTTTTTGACACCACCACCACCGGCAGCCTTGCGCTTCTTTCCACTGACAGCCCCACCGCTGCTGGACGCACCACCCGCAGCCCGGCCGCCACGATGAGCAGCACCACCAGCCCCAGCAGCAGCGGCATTACCAGTCTCCCCGTTTGAGGGACTCGGCTGCTGGTGGTCGTCGTCTGCGTCAATGGGGTTGTCCTGGTCGGCTGGCTGGTGGTGGTGGTGCTCTTGGGGAGGCTTCTTCTTGTTCTTGGCCGCAAGCGTGAAGGGGTTGATCGCCAGATCCGTCACTGAAGGCACCCACGCACAATAAGAGACATAAGAAAGGCGCGTGTGCATAAGCTGTGTATTATCCCACCCACTCACCCTTGAGCTGCGGCGCCTTGCCCTTGCCCTTAGCGCGCTGCTTGGCCCCATTCCCACCGCCACCCCCACTCCCATCTCGCCCCTCGCCGCCGCCGCCGGCCTTTGCCGCCTTGGCGGCCTTGCTGGTGGCCTGTGCATTGGCCAACTCCACCAGGCTGTCCTTCAGGAAATGAAAACGCATCGAACGCGACGACGCCGTGTCTAAAAAGAGAAAGAAAGACAGAGACCATGATGGATGGATGGATCGGATGGGTGGGTAGGTGCTGAGGTGAGTGAGGGTTTGCCGACTCACTCCACTCACCGACGTCTGCGAGGAAGATGGTCTGTCTGGTGCCCCGATTGCGGCTGGCGCTCTCGGCCAGGGCACGCAGAAACAACACCTACAGGGACACAGTGAGACGTACCGTGAGATAGACACACGAGTGAAGAGGAGAGCTCTGCGATTTATTCACTTACCGTGGCGCCACCTATGAGCTTCTGGGCGGCCTTGGTCACCTGCATGCACACGTGAGTGAAGGGTTGGCCATCCACACAAGCTCCTCTCTCTGCGCGTCTCTGTCTGTCTGTCTGTCTGTCTGCAATGAGTGGTACCTGTTTGACGTCGTCTTCAAATTTGATGCACTTGACTACGCGGGAGAGGGGCAGGGCGGTGAACACCGATCCGGCACCATCACTGAACAATGTCGTGCAGGGGGATGCAATTGTGTGTCACGGCTTGGCTGGCTGCCTGCCTGCCCGCCCGCCCGCCCCCCGACTGACCCAGACGTCTTGTCGTCCTCTACGCCGCCCGCATCCTTCTGCAGACACGACAACGAAAAGACGGCTAAGTGAATTGCGTGTGTGTGCATGTTTGTGTGCCTGACGTACCCACTGCTGCAGCTCCCGTGTGTAGCGCTCCTTGTCCTCGGCAGCAGCCCTCTCCCACACCTGATACACACCAGGATGGGACGAAGAAATGGATGGATGGCATTTAGGATTGGCTGACTGGCTGACCTTCTTCTGCTCGGCCGTGAGGTTGCGCCATATGGCAGAGAACTCCTTCGTCTGCTCCGTAGCCTGCAATGCGTCCACAGACAGCCACACGGACAAGACAGACGGACAAAGAGATGGGTCCCTCACTTAATCAAGGCTTCTCCCTCTCCCTCCCCGCGTGTGAGTACTTACATTTGCCTTTTTCTTCTTGCCCTGCTGCCCGTCGGCGGCATCCTCGACTACAATAGCGTTGCCCTCAGTGCCATTCCCCTCCTCCTGCTGCTGCTGTTGTTCTTTTCTGCTCTTCTCCTGGTCTGCCCGCTTGATACGCTGGGCCTGGAGGAACAGCATGTAGGCCGACTGGTTGCGCTTCGGCTTGGGGCCGGGGGCAGGCTTGGCCGCTGTGTTGTCGGTGCCATCCGAGCCGTCACCACCCCCACCACCCACATCCACACCGTCAGGCCCGTCTGCGTCGATGCCCCCCTCCTCGCCGCCCCCTTCTGCTGCTACCTGGTCATCCCTCTCACCGTCCCCCTCAACCACACCCTCGCCACCATGGTCATCCTCTCCTATCGCCCCCCCCTCCATTTCCACATCCATATCGACGTCCGCGGCGTGGTCGCCCATGAGTTCGTCCATGAGTTCGTCATCCACCTCAGGGCCATCATCCCCATATTCGAGATCTCCTCCCTCCTCGTCTGCGGGCCGCGGGGGCTCCTCAGCCGCTGGCGGCATGGCGGTCTCCTCCACATGGGCAGCCGGCGGGACGTCCTGCGGAGATGGGGCTGCAGCGGCATGGTTCTGGGCGGCGCGTGACTCCCATGCTGCCAAAGAGAAGTTGTCATTGCAGATCATCCATCCATCCATCCGTGTGCGTGCGTGTGGTGTGTCTGCATACCTACCTACCTTGTTCTTCATCCTCGGACATTTGTTCCCACTGTCGGCGCACCAGCTGCGTGGCCTCCGTGATGGTCTTGTCGGCGTGCTTTGGTCGCTCGGCCGCCATGAAGAGCCGAAACCCGGTTTTGGCGGCCACAAAGCCCATGTCGGGCGCCGTCACCATCCCGATCTTCTTCATATGTCGCCAACGCTGCGGATCTTCCTGCTACATCGTCAGCGGATAGAGCGCTTCTGTCGATGCTCACACTTTACTTACCCACAGCAACGGTTTGAAGGGAAAGAAGCCCTACACAAACTGGACGAGAGCGACGACGATGCCATTTGTATGCTTCTACCAGTGTCGTGCATCCACGCCGGCACGGAGGAAACGCTTGGCTCAAATTCGCTTCCTTCTGAGTTATTCGACACACGGCTTCTAACAGTCGTGGTGGGATCACAAGAAACGTAGGAGACGAGACACACGAATCTGTGTTTGAAAGAATTCTTCTTGGAAACGTGTGTCGCAAAAGCTCGCATGATTTTGCCTTACTAAGTTGACGGGGTCGTGTCCCGCGCCGCTCACGGCCATCGAAGCTTGTGATGAGCTCAGCGGGGCGCCAAAGTGTCCCAAACTCCTGTTTGCTCCCGAGTTGGATCGAGTGAGGATCGAATTGCCGGGTTTCTCGAGCCTGGCAAATTCGTTTTGCGATTTTTCTGCATGAATCGCTCCGCATTGAGGCTTCACGTACAGTCAGGCAAAGAAACAATCGAAACAAAGGCCTGGAAGCTTCATTTGAGGAAATGCGAGCTTGAAACTGCGAGCTCGCAGAGAGTAAGATCAGCTCTCGTGTTGTACAAGTAAGCAGATCAGACCTGCTCTAGTCTTAATTCGTCCATCCCTTGCTTCGCTTTGGTACAAGCTCTCTCCTGCTGCTGCGCACGGGCGTTCGAGAAGCAGTCAGCGCCAGGGCACAACGACTTTGTCGCAGGATGACAATGAGCAATGTGGTGATCGTGGTGATGTTGCTGGTGCCATCTCTCTGTGCGCGTCGGTCTATTCACGAAGCGCCTTTCGGAGTGCCCAGCTCCGTGGCTCGTCTGTCCTCGGACCAGGTACACGGCTCAACACATCAGTGTCAACTTTCCACCCGTCATGGCCACTCTTTTCAGACGCCGCGCCTCACTGGTGGCTGTCCGTGACGCCCTCCCATTCACCGCCGGTGGGCACACACGAGACAGATGGGCGTGTGTCGCTTGTTGGTTTGCCACTGATCCACCGCTTTCCTCTCTCCCTCTCGTCAGGGCCATTGGGCCGCCTCTTTGCGGAGACCTCAAGCGGCGGAGCCATCCCATCGGCTGACGCAACTTACGAAGACGGTACAATGACGGGAAACAGCCGCCGGCATCTCACTCCCACGCTCCCATTTGTGTGTGTTGTCGATCAGCGGCGATGAAGCTGAAGCTGGTGAACCGAATCCTCCTCCTGCTTGGCCCCGACAAGGCAAACGAACTGCTGGGCGCCATCAATGAGCTGCTGCAGGACCGTGACGAGCAGATGCAGCAGGTGCGGCAGGAGATGAAAGAAATGCGGCAGGAGAGAGAGCAGTTCAAGAAGGAGCGCGACGAGCATGACTCGATGCTCGAGAAGCAACTGGCTGCAGAGCGCGCACATCACTGGAAGAAGTTGGATCGCATGCTATCGAAGGAACAGCCATTTGACTAAGACCCGGCCGTGTGAGAGGGCCGGCCACTGCTGTGCTGTGTGGGGGGCAGGGACGCGAGGCTCGTAATCGTCGACCGGCGCCTTCGGGAGATTGATAGTGTCAAAGAGAGAGTTCTTGCTGGTTGGTGTGGAACAACATGACGGCCGGACAGATGACAGGAAGGGGGAGAATTCGGAATACACACGAGTAAGTTTGGCACAACGGAGATCTCATCTGTACAGACAGACAGATGGCGTGCGTGTTGTTATGATTCAGTCAGTGTGTTGTCGGGTCCAGACAGACAGACAGACAGACAGACAGACAGGACACACTCGCTTAGCAAACGTACGTTGTGTTGGCGTGGCTTGGTGTGTGGGAGACTTTCTGGCCTCTGTCGTGGTCTCCTGGGACAACCCACTTTAGATGAATCGATCAATGCATGCACCAGTCGAACCACGGCATGCATCGCCGTCAGTCAATCAAGTGCCTTTGCACCGAACATATCAAGCTCATGTGAGCCGACGAGTCTCGATTTGACAGCGGGTGGGGTGGCAGGCAGGTGTGATAAGTCGTATGTGTGTGTGCGCATGCCGGGCAGTGAGACATCGGCATTTGTTTGTGGTGTCTCGTCAGCCCGCCATGCGTGTGTCGTTGTTCGACCACCTCCCGTCCATTTGCCCATCGATTTGAGGCGAATGGATTGAAACCGGGCCGATTGATGGATGGATGTGGACCCTGTGCGTGTGGGTGGGTGGGGGTGGGTGGGGGTGGTGTGGTGTGCATGGTGCGAGTTTCAAGTTTCGTAACTGGTGTGAGCCACACGCACACACGAGAAAGAAAGAAAGAATTTGAGACAAGGAAGGAAAGGTCAGGTCTTTTTTGGGCTGGTTTCGCCCCCCAAGCGCTGTGAGCTGATCCACCGACCGACAGATACCCTTTCCCCTCCCCCCGCCCGCCCACCCTTGCCCCGTAGTCCAATCAATCACCACCCGATGAATGAATGAGAAACACACCACCATCACCACCACCACCACCACACACGCAAGGAGAGAGGGCGACACGAGACAGATTAGGCCAGGGAGAGGAAACCAAGGGAGAGGGAGAGGGAGAGAGAGGCAGCAAGGTAAGAAAGCAAGGCAAGGCAAGGCGAGTCAGGGCAAGGAGAGCCTTCAAAGCATGAAGAAGGAGGCCACCCGTGTAGCGTACCACCCACCAGACAGACGGACAGACAGACAGCCGGACATGTAGGCAGCAGGCATCCCCCACCCTCGGTCGTAATCAATTCAAAAAAGCGCCGGCCCCCATCAATCCCTCCATTGGCCCACCCACTCACTCACTTCCGAACACGGTCCGCAACTACGCAGGGGAGGGAGTTCACCCATCCATCCGCCCACCGATACTCACTCGTCTGCCCGCTGCCCTTTCGAGCAGACAGGAGGCCGGTGGGCAAATAAACAAATGGGTGGGAGGGTCAAGTCACACTCAAGAGGGAGAGACAGAGAGAGAGAGAGAGTGAGGGGCAAAATCAGGGGAGAGGGGCCGGCCCATCAAGGGCATCGATCGATGGCATGGATGAGAGGCGTGTATGCAGGCAGGCAGGCAGGCAGGCAGTTACAGCACAATGAATCTCTCTTCCCGAGAGTACACACGGCATGATGGATGGAATGGATGCATGGAATGGGTCGGTTAAGCAAGAGGCAGGCAGTGAGGGGGAGAGATAGGCAGCCAGGGAGGACCTTACTCTACACGCAGCCAGCCAGCCAGCCAGCCAGCTAGTCGGCCAACGGACAGACACCACAGAGGCGGGTAGGCCAACCCGCCTTTGTGATGCGTCAGCCCGGTCAGCCTCAGCCCCTCCCGCATCAGTCCGACACCCGCCATTCATCGCAACACAGTACAACACAGCACAAAACACGTACACTGCACGCAGCCCGGAGCATTGCTCCTCCTTCCTTTATGCCCGCCCGGCGGGCTGGCTGGCCGGAGAAAATGGCCATTCATCGATTGATCGGTATACCATGGGACATGGGAACCAACACTGTAGAAAGAGAGAGAGAGAGGACAACTGGATAACACCAGCAGCCACGCTGGCAGGTGGCCGGGGGTCTCTCTCACACATGACGGCCATGCAGTATTGTGAGAGATCCCCGGCCCTCAGCCAAGTCACACACGCACACGCACACGCGCACTTCAATCAATGGGTAGACAGAGAAGGAGGTCCCGAGCACACACAGACAGACAGACAGACAGACAGCTTTGTTCCGAAAAATTAGACAACCAATTCACTCCTACTTCCTGTCTGTCTGTCTGCGCCCTTCCTCCCTCCCTCCATGGATCCCTCCCTCCCTCCTGATCCCCCTAATGCGACTGCTCGCTCTACAAAACGGTCCGTCTGACTGGGCTTGCTGTCCTGGCTACCCGTCCATCGCTACTAGTAATCATGTCAGTCAGTCACGGTGCAATCACTTGGCGGCCTTGTCGCCATCGCCATTGCGGCTGCTGGTCCGTCCGGGTGTAGGAAGCAACCCCCCGTTAGTCGCTGATGAAGCGGGCGGAGGGGGCGGCTGTGTGCTGCCCCCACCACGACCACCACCACCAGACGCCGCAGGGGCCGCTCCAAGAATGCCGGCGCCGCCCCCACCAGTGGCCCCCTGTGGCAAGCCGGTCTTCTTGGCGCCCTTGGCGGTGGTGATGCTGCCCCGCCTCTCGCTCGGATGCGGCAGCAGGCCAGGGGCACTCGCCTTGGCACTCTCGCCCAGTGCCGGTGGGAGGGGGAGCGCTGGGGGCTCGTTCTCGCGCCCTGTGCTGGGGACGGGCGAGCCGCCGACAGAGCTGAGGGAGCTGGTGGTCAGGTTGGGGTTGGATGACTGTGTGGGTAGGAGGGGTCGGTAGGAGGGTGAGTCGGAGGGCTGCTGGCCTGGCGATGGCTTGGTGTGCCAGCCCCACTGGGTGCCCGACTGGCTGGTGGTGGAGGACGCCTCGGACGCCGCGGCCTGGTGCGATGGCGGGGGAGTGCCGCGAAGACCGAACAGACTGGACAAGGGATCTGATCAACAGACAAAGCCACACGATGGAATCAGTATATGTCCCATCAATCGTGTGCGTGTGGATTTCGTCCTCCGTTACTGCTTACTTAGGACTTTGCTGAGCATTCCACCCTGATGCCCCTGCTGCACCTCAGCGTTGCTGCTGCCTGGGCTGGCGGTGGACCCTCTCGCAACCGCATTGGCCGGCGGGGGCGGGGATGCCGGCGCCCTCGAAGACGCCGCATGAGCTGCCACAGCGTCGCCACCAAAGAACGACAAACGCATCCTCTGGCTCGTGTTGCCGCCGGTGGTACCTCCTCCTCCCGCTGCTGCTGCTCCTGCTGCTGGTGGTGGGGAGGAGGAGGGTGGCGGCCCTGCAGGTGGGGGAGGCGCTTGCGACTGAGAGGTCTGTGCGTTGGTCTCGGACATGGTGCCGTCGTCGTCCACTTCCCGTGGGCCGACCGACGCCCGCAGGTCGCCCATCGACCCACCCACATGCCCGGAGATGTCTTCCTGACCGGGGCGGCTGGGGCTGGGACTCACGGCGTGCTGCTGCGCACGGAAGCTGCTGCTTGTGTTTGCCTGTGCCGGTGCGGGGGCGTAGGGGTGGGGGTAAGCCGGATTGGGGTCGTTGGCCTTGCAGGCAGCCTTGACGGCGACGATGCCAGCCTCCCTGGCCGCAGCCTCAAGGGCCGGCCCCACCCTCTTGCTGAGCGGCACGCCGTGGACCGCCGACGTGTTGATGTGTTTGAGGGCACCGGCAGGGTTCTTGGTGGTGATACTAGGGGTCTTCTTCTTGTGATCGGTGACGGCTTGCTCTTTGGTGGCGGGGTGGGCGGGGTCGGCCTCCTTCCACCGGCCAATCATGGCCGTGGCCTCGTTTTCCGAGATGGAGTTGGGGTCGATCAGAAGGGGAGACATGATCATGAAGTTGCGCACGGCCAGCGTATTCTGAAGGAACAAATGAGCAGAGGCGGACACTACATGGGTGTTCTGGTTCTGTTCATGGCTGTCTGTTGGGCGACTGACTGACTGACCACTGGGTATTCGGTGTAGATCTCTAGGTTAGGCTGTCCGGGCATCTGGAGGTCGCTGCCATCCAGGAACCGCCGCACGGCTTGGTCCTCGTTCTGGATGTCGATGAGAATGCGGACCGGCTCGCCGCCCCGCTTGACCTCCCTCTGGATCTCGTCCAAAGTCACGTCACCCCGCACGTTCTTCATCATCAGCACACGCCCCTCTCGCGTGAACCGCGGACCGCCCTCAAACTCCAACTCACGCGGCCGCAGGTGCGGGATCAGCTGCGGGTTGCACGCCAACAGCTGCTCTCGTGTCGGCCGCGGGATGGCCTCCTTGCCCTCATCCATGTCAAGACCACCTTCTCCCTCCTCTCCCTCTCCCTCGGCCAATGGGGTCGGCTTGTCCTGGTGGGGTGGCGACGCGACCGATGAAGACGACGAGCCGACGGCAGCCCCACCCGCCATCTTGGGCATGGGCGTGCCCATGATGGGGGAGGGCATCGAGAGAGGCAGCCCAGCGCCCTTGCTGAGGGCGTCGTGGCCGAAAGACGGAGGTGGGGGGTGCTCAGGGGTGGCCTGCAGGGCGCCCGCCACACTGGCCATGTTGTAGGGGCCGGGGGAGATGCCCCTCATGGCGGTAGGGTCCGCGTAAGTCGACCCAATCCCACCACCAGGTGCTCCGAACCCGCCGTAGCCCGTCGTCGCCCCCATAGGATGGCCCATGTGTTGGGGACCCGGTGGTGTGGCGGTGAGGTGGCCCTGGTCGCGATGCCACGCCATGGGGAAGAACCGCTTGTGCGAGTCGATCGGCGGCCGCGGGACGGTGACGAAGGGCAGCTCCCTCTCCATCCCGAGGCTGAACCCCAGCCCGTGTTGCATGCACGGCAGGCCCTCGCCCGCTGTCATCCTCACAGTACTGCCGCTCTGGTCGGCGGGCTCGAGCCCCGGCGGTCTCATGGGCGACTCGAACGACACGTCAGACGACCCGCCAAAGGCGGATGGCACCACGGGGATGTCCGGCTGGGAAGCGCGTCTGAGCCTCTGTTGCTGCAGGGGGTCGGGGCTCTGGAAGTGCGGCGGGAGCCGGGGAGCCGAGCCTTTGCGGGGCATGCCGATGGGTGCATAGACGCCGCCTCCGAAGCCCTCGGCTGAGATGGGGAAGGGCGAACCCATCACACTGTCCCCCGCACCGCCAGCACCGGAGATGGCGCTGAGGTAGGGGGGGGGTCCGGCCAGCATGCCGCTGCTCGTGGCGTCAGCCGATGGCGGCTCTGGGGGCCCTCCAGCGCCCAGTGTGGATGGGAAGGGCGGGAGGCCGTCGCCGCCCCTCTGTCTGAGAGGCGACACCTCCACCGACGACCCTCCCATCGGCGAGTAGAACTGGTCGTCGCCCCTCGGGCCACCCTCTGTCATGGGCGACAGCAGCGGTCCGCCCTCGGAGCCACCAGTGTTGTCAGCGTAGCTCGATGGCGGCTGTCCGATGGTCCTCGCGGCGCCCTCCGAGATGACAGGTTTGGGCTGGCTGCCCGCGTGCAGCGGGGGGAAGCCGTTGTCCTGCAGACCGGTGTCTGGCGACGACACGAGTGAGTGGGCCTCGAGGCCCGCGTGTGCGGGGGCCGATCCGGCGGCGAGGGAGGGTGGGCCGTCGGTGATTGCGTGGTGGATGGGGCGGATGGGGGACGAGAAGCGCGAGAGGTCCCGAGCGGCCTTGGATGGGACGTTGCTGATCTTGCGCTTCTGTGCGGGGGTGCCGAGGCGCTTCCTCTGGCAGGCGATGCCGACGATAAGCGACACGAGCGCCTGGTGCTTCTTCTTCTCCCTCTGGTGCTCCGGCAAGTCGTCCACAACTCCCTCCCTGCACACACACACACACCGACCCAACACAACACACAGACAGCCAGACAGAGAGATTCGTTCGCATCATGCACGTCTTGACGCCGTGCAGTGCATTCATCCTTCCGTCCTTACTCAGGCAGCAGATCGTCGATCTCAATGACTCCCGTCTCGAGCTCAAGTTCCCCAGCCTTGATAATGCGCACCACAAACTCACTCGGGAAGCGGCGGGCCAGCTCCCTGCAGCCACAAGCACGACAACAGACAGACGACATGCGTCATTAATTGGTCTGTCTGTCCAAAGCCCTGAGCCAGATGTGCTTCTCTTACTCGAAGACCCATTTGGATGTCCGTCTCTCCGACAGGTACCAGGCCGCAGCGTCCCCAGCCCCCCCGGCTGCACGTGGGGTGGAGGTTCGGCTCAGCACTGACGACGCCGGCAGGGACGACGACATGCACACATTCCCCACCTCACCGCGCCCCTGGCGTGAGGCGTAGGGCGTGGTCGGCTGCTTCTCGTCGGGCGGCGGGAGGGCCTCACCCGAGGCCAGTGAGAGGGACCGCTCGGGTGACTGTTGCTGCAGCTCCTTGAGCTCGATCCTGGCCCTGAAGAGGTACTTGCCTGGTCCGGCGGCGCCCGCCTCGCTGGCCGAGCTGGCGCTCGCACTCGAGGCCGACGCCCCACCGTCGAGCTCGATGCGCTCGCC